TTGTACCATGATGGGTAGTTAGTCCCAGCCACAGAGCTTCCAGTGTGACTACAGATAAAACAAACATCACTACCAAGGGACCAGGGCCAGGTTAACATAGGGGTTGATGGAGCTGCAGCTCCAGGGCCATAGAATAGGCCCATTTAAAAAAAAAAAAATTTACACACTACTCTTAGGTTTGCCCCCTGACTGGTATTTTAAGGCACAGTTGATGTTTGAGGCTGCCTGGCCGTGACGGTATTGCAGTAATACCGGCAATAAAAAATGCAAATATTTTTCTCAGTATAAACGGAGATTGTTTTGCAATACCAACCAGTAGGGGGTCACTGTGTATGGAAAAAGGCAGGGATAGGAAGTTACAGCATCTCCCTGCCTCTCTCTACTCACTGATCCACCGGGGAGCAGCTACACAGCACAGAGAGTCCAGACAGCAGCTCCCAGCCTGCAGAGACAGACTACAGCTCAGGTATGTGAAGGATGGGGGGAAAGGCAGCAGGGAGACATGGGGACACTGAGATACTAGGGGACACTGGGAAACATGGGGACACTGTGAGACATGGGGACGCTGAGACACCTGGGGATGCTGTGAGACATAGGGTGACACATTGGGACACAGAGACACTATGGACACAGTGTCTCCATGTCTCCCAGTGTCATCATGTCATCAACCAGTGTCCCTAGTGTCTCAGTGTCCCCATGGCTCCCGGTGTCTCCTAGTCTCCCAGTGTCTGTGTCCCCATGTCTCCCAGCCAGTGTCCCTATGTCTCCCAGCCAGTGTCCCTAGTGTCTCAGTATTCCCATGTCTCCCAGTGGCAGTGTCCACATCCCATGGCAGTGTCCCCAAATGTCTCAGTGTCCCCATGTCTATGTCCACAAGTGCCCCCATGTCTCCCAGTGTCCCCAAGTGTATGTGTCCCCATGCCTCCCAGCCAGTGTCCCTAGTGTCTGTGACCCATGTCTCCCAGTATCCCCTAGTCTCCCAGTGTATTTGTTCCCATGTCTCTCAGTGTCCCTAGTGTCTTAGTTTCCCCAAATGTCTGTGTCCCCTTGTCTCCCAGTGTCTGTGTCCCCATGTCTCTGTGTCCCTAGTGTCTGTGACCCCATTTCTCCCAGTGTCCCAAAATGTCTCAGTGTCCCCATGTCTCCCAGTGTCCCCATGTCTGTATCCACAAGTGCCCCCGTGTCTCCCATCGTCCCCGGGTTTCTCAGTGTCCCCATGTCTCACTGTGTCCCCATGTCTCTCAGTGTCCCCTAGTATGCTAGTGACACAGGACACACTGAGACATGGGGACACTGGGAGAAATGTGGTCACAGACACTGGGAGCCTAGAGGACTGGGCAACATGGGGACACTGACACTGTGATACATAGGGACACTGATGCCACGCTGGCCTTCCAATTCTTTGGACAGACATGCCCCCTTTTTGGGCATGTTTGCCGCTTTTGGCAGTTCTGGTCACGTGATTCACGTCAGTGGCCCACCCTTTTACACCGCCCATTGACTACCTGCTTCACTGGACATTGCTGTTAGGGAGTATGGATTTACTTGAAAGATGAAAGCATAAATTAGAAAGAGATTAGCATAGAGAATGGGTTTTCTTATAGCTGCATCCTCTGAGTTTCCCTCCAACACCAACTCCATCAGATACATGACACGTGAGAGGTATGACTGCTTGTAGTATTTTTGGTCGATAAGATTCTGTAATTAGGCCCCATCATAATTGTCAGCACCAGGCCCACTGGGCTCTTAATCTGGCCCTGCAAGGGACACAGATATGGTGGAATCCTGAATCACCACAAACTGAGCCACAAAACATGAAAAAAGACAATGATATATTAACAATATTTATAAAAATACAGGGTACCTATTTAAGCTTTGTGTCAGATTTTTATATCCTACTTGAATGAAGAAAGCAGCCCAGGACATGGTGCAGATCGTAAGTAACTGATCTGTGACTGTAACTGTAACCTAGATTCAACTTAAACACTTGCTGAAACATTGCACATTTACAGTAATTGCCTGCCTTTATTTAAATATTTTATTTTTGGGGGGCGGGGCCGGGCCGCCAAGATGAACGGTCGCATGAAAGACCAGCTCCTGCAAACCAAGTACTATTAAACCTGAAAACCGTGACTTTCAATAACTTACAAGACCAACAACCGCAACCCTCGGCATGTAAGGGCCACCGGAGCCGAGGAGAGGCTTGCTCCAGGAGTTTAAGTCCCTCGGGGGAGAGATGCCTGCTGCATCAGGCGGGACTTTGCCCGGCGGTGAGTAGAGTTGACGGCCACCGCTCCACTATCCTGCCCAACGGAGCCCGACAGACAAGCTGACCCATTGCAGACCCGGTCCCGAACCCCCCCCTGGACTGGGGGGTGATCCCGGTCCCCGCCCCATAACAGCACCTGTTGTAGCATCTGTTATTACCCTGTTATTACCCTGTAACCACCTGCACAACAAAAATAAAGAATTAAAAATATATATATATTTTTGTAAATAATGAGTATTTCCATAGCTAGCAATTTTTTTTCAAATATCAAAAAAGATGTTACATATTAATAAAATCAATATATTAAAAACAATCAAGATATTAAACTATTTTTAACACAATATGAAATTATTTAAAAAGCTTATCTTTGAAATATTAAATTAAGAGCTTGGTTGGCAAGGATAATCCCTATCTGTGTCAGAAGTGCAGCGCAACTTCCAGGACGCTCAGCTTTTGCATCCAGAGAGTTGCCACAAATGGCCTGTGGCTGATCTATGTTTGTAACAGAAATGCAACTCCCTTGATTCTCAGCCAATAGTGTAGGCTGAGCCTCAATAGAGGTGCAAGTCTACCACAAATAGAGATCCGACTGGAGCAGGGGTCAAGTCCTGGGGAAAAAAGTGTGGGAACTCACCCAAGATTCCCGCCCCGCCCCCCCCCTTTAAAAAAAAAAAAATTACACTCCTATGCATATAGTGCAGTGCAGGGTGTGTATAATGAATGTAGTGTGTTTGTAGTGAATGCAGAGTGTGTATAATGAATGCAGTGTGTTTTAGTGAGTGCAGAGTGTGTACACTGAATGCAGTGTGTTTGTAGTGAATGCAGAGTGTGTATAGTGAATGTAGTGTGTAGTGAGTGCAGAATGTGCATAATAAATGCAGAGTGTGTATAGTGAATGCAGAGGGTGTATAGTGAATGTAGTGTGTTTGTAGTGAGTGAAGAGTGTGTATAATGAATGCAGTGTGTGCGTGTGCGCGCTGGATGACGTGTGTGTGAGTGCTGGATGATGTGTGTGTGAGTGCTGGATGATGGGTGTTTGTGTGAGTGCTGGATGATGGGTGTTTGTGTGAGTGCTGGATGATGTGTGTGTGGGGGGGGGGAGGATTTTTTTTAACTTTATATTTTTTTTTATTTTATTCCCCCCTCCCTGCTTCTTACCTTGTCAGGGAGGGGGGAGATCGCCTGGTGGTCCGGTGGTATGCTGGAGGGGCCATCACGCAGTGTTCCCTCTCCAGCTCTAACTCTCGCGAGACTCGCCTGTGCGGAGCGTTGCCATGGTAACAGCCGCGGGTCTCGCGAGAGTTATAACTGGAGAATGAACACAGCATGTGACGGCCCCTCAGTGCAGGTAGCAGGGCCGGTCCTGCAGGACAGGGAACGGGAACGGCGTTCCTGCTATGGAAAAAGTGCAGGAACGCCGTTCCCATGCGTTCCTGCAGGACTCGAGCCCTGGACTGGAGGGTCAAAGTTTCTCTCCTGCTGTGGTAAAAATGCAAGGCTGGCTAACTATCAACGGAGGTGGACTGCACATTTGTGCCACAAGATTGATTCCAATTGTTGGCAACATGTGCAACAATTACCAGCAATAAGTCAGAAAGTAAATACTGTATATACCTGGTTTCAAGCATTCTGTTAACAGAGACAACTTTGCAACGGAAATTCAGATAAAAACGAATCAAAGTAGGAGTGAAATTTGGTTTATTACAATCTCTTTGTTGTATTCAGGTAAACTGATTCGGACAAATACATTTTCTGTCCGTGCAATAGTCATTATACACATTACCATTACAACTGTAATACAATTATAAATAAGTTTACACTAGGGGTAGTCAGCTGGTGAGGCTTATCTCTATTATTTACTACTACTATTATGGCAGTAAATGTTTAGAAGACATAAAATATATTGTCATTTTTTTTTTTAATTTATACATTTGCCAATAATATGGCTAGCACACTACATAGGTGGAATATTTTTTTCTATCAAGTAAAAAAAAATATTACTGTTCACTTTAATTCATTGTACTTAAATATTCAAAGAAGCAGAAGCTCTGTAAAGAAAAATATTACTTATAGCCTGTTTGACTTTTTATTGACATGGAGACTCTAAAACTGGACTACAAGGGGATGTAAAGCATACTCCCATAAAAAATACAAACTGCCCCCCACATAAACAAAATTTCATGGAAATTTGGCAGACAGCAATAAGCAATGATATGGCATTACATTTTGTACAAATGTTCTTCACTGTTATATTAATGACTCGTATGTTAATATATAAAACCCCAGCTTGGATCCCAGATACAGGATGTGCAGGAGATACTGTCAACAAACATGGGACAACCAAGCAAGGGTGTCATGGAGAAATCAAATCACTATTTAAAAGAAATGATGGAAGATACATGGAAGTAATTTCCAGCATAGACATTTCTAAAGTATTGTAGAACTCATTTGGAGATTCACTGTGTCTCACCTGGAAAAATAAGTATGTCCTAAAAGTTATAGGTAGTTCGAAAATAGCAATAGAAGAGCCAATTGCAATTTTCAAGCATTTTTCTATGTATGTCTACAACTGATACCACGACGTAAGGATGGTAGGTCAACTCAAATGGTTCTGGAAACAACAAAATGTAAAATAACTGTATTACGGATACATTCAAATTGGGATAGAATATATTATTAGAGATTAGAAATGTTAAATCTGGAGTCATTTTATACAGTTGCCGCCTGCTGTTCAGATTGAGAGTTGCAGGCTTGGATTGTGACTTTGTTTTCTATCTGTTTGTATCACAGTGTACGGTGTATTACCACCATCATAGAGAAGGCAGTGATAGTCTCCATCATCATCAGCCTGCACTCTGCTAATGGACAGGACAGCCAAACCCCCTGATATAGATCCAGTGAATCGATCTGAGGTCCATGAGGGTCTGTTGTTATGGTTGCTGCCAGTACTGTAAACTACAAGTTTAGGGACACCCCCGGGTGTCTGATAGTACCATGATGGGTAGTTACCCCCAGTCACTGAGCCTCCACTGCGCCCACAGGTCAGACGGGCATCATTACCAATAGACCCAGATATTGCAGCTTCCTGAGTCACCACAAACTGAGCCGCAGAACCTGAAACAAGACAATGAATAATAATCACAATTAGAATGCTGTAGGGTTTCTGATGTGAGCTGTCTGTGCAGGTTTTCATATCTTACGTGAGCAATACGAGCTGAGAATGAGGAGGACGACAGCCCAGGACATGGTGCAGGCAGCTCTGCAATAACTGACAAACAGTTATGTGAATGGAACCCTCCAGGTTCCCCTTAAATCCATAGAGATATGACATATTTAAATACATGCAAATCATATGAAACATTTTGGGTTGGTGAATTTGTGACACAGGCCAGACAGAACAAGATTCTACAGCTCTGGGATTTTTAATAACTGGTGATATTGGGGAAGTGTTTACCTTTAACCCCTTAAGGACACATGAAATGTGTGATATGTCATTATTCCCTTTTATTCCAGAAGTTTGGTTCTTAAGGGGTTAAGACAAATTAATATCTCATTCTCTGTTTTTTTGTGATAGACTATATACTATCACAATCACTCACTAACGACCAAATAAATATGATTACAAACTATTTCTGAAAAATGATAGCTGACAGCTGCTTATTTGTTATCTAGTGTTTAGATCCCTCCTAACGCAGAAAGGAACACTCTGATTAAATGCAGTATTTAAATTTAAAAAAGAAAGGAAAGCTAAACCAAAGTTTATTACTATTGTACCTTGCTATAGAATCTGATGGACCTATATAAATAATAAAATAATAATAATTACTCTCTTCCTGAGGACTCAGGGGAAAGTGCTCACTCGCCGCCCGCCCGCCTTCACATCCAGCTGCCTCCCTGCCCAGCAGCCCCACTGGACCCCAGGTGAAAAATTCACCCAGCTATCCAAAAAGTAGGGAGGTTGGGTGGATTTAAATTAAAAAAATAATAATATTAATTGTGAATGGGGGAGATGTGTGTGTGTGTCAGTGAATGTGAGTGAGTGTGTGTCAGTGAATGTTAGTGAGTGTGTGTGTCTGTCAGTGACTGGGAGTGTGTGTGTCAGTGAATGTGAGTGTGTATGTCAGTGAGTTTGAGTGAGTGTGTGTGTCTGTCAGTGAGTGTGTGTGTTTCAGTGAGTGTGTGTGTCAGTGAATTTGAGTGAGTGTGTGTGTCTGTCAGTGAGTGTGTGTCAGTCAGTGAGTGCATGCATCTGTCAGTGATTGCGTGCGTCTGTCAGTGAGTGCGTGTGTCTGTCAGTGAGAGTCTGCGTCTGTCAGAGAGTGTGTGTACGAGTAAGTGTATGTCTGTCTATCAGTGTGCAAATCAGTGAGTGTTTTTTTGGACATTGATTGTCAGTGTATATGAGAGTGTGTGTCTGTCAATGAGTGTATGCGTCTGTCAGTGAGTGTATGCGTCTGTCAGTGAGTGTGCGTCTGTCAGTCAAAGTGCAGCCTTTGGAGGGGGAGGGGGTTATCTGAGAGCGCGTTCTTAACTGTTTTTTTATCTTTGCTTGTTCCTGACTACCCGCTTTTCTGGTCTGGTAGACCAAGGGATATGGTCTAAGGTTATTCGGTAAATAATTGGTTAGTGCTGGTTCCTATTATTTGGCAATCTACTGGACTTGGTTGGTTGGCTTTTTCACTTTTACCAGAATATTTCTCTATGTCAGTGTACGGACTTTTGCCACTGTATGTCAACAGTTACGCTTTACACTTTATGAGTCGTTTTGCATGTTTATATGCTCATTACATTGCTGGTTCATTATGTATTCCTAGGTATATCGTATACTGACCATGTGGAATAAGAAGACAAATATTCTACCGCACTAAATATTTATTTAAGTCTTCTGGTCAGATAATTTATTCAGGTATATACGTTTGACAATTTTATTTTCTTACGTAAATGCTATGGCTGTGAAGCTTTACTACTAGGCTCAGGCCTTCATGTCTTATTCAGTATGTTTATTAAAATGTTTAGGCCCCCGAGTAGTCCTTTCATAGTTTCCAGTATTGCCGGTGTTACAATTCATACTCTGTTCAGGTATTTAGGTTATGGTTCTTTGACGTTTACATTACAGTTGCCCATCTTTCACATACTGAGTCCTCTGTTACATAGTTGTGAGGGTTCACATATAACCAATGCTCAAATTTCCATACACTCTATTTGTAATTAGATGCAGGGGGGCATTGCGATATATTTGACCCTCGCTTAGTCTTCCATAAGGATACGTTGCATTTTGAACTTTTTTTAGGTAAACGTCCACGGCTGATGCATCTATTTAATTCTCTCATCCTTTAGATTGTTGAACTTATCTGTAGTGAACACTAGTCTACCACTAACAGCAGTATCTTTGAGAGGTTTATCATCGTTTCCACAGGTATTTCAGTTATTTTTCCTATTGGCTTTTTGGTTAGTTTCACTTTCTGTATAGTTATGTATTTTTATTTTCTATAGATCAAGCACCGACCTCTTCTACGACTCACTAGACGTAATCATTATCTTATTAGGGTAGGATTGACTTCCTCTTGCACTATAACTTTCTCTCCCTACTTTCACGTTTTTTATCTAATTGGTGTATTTATCTTTTAGGCACTTTCGAGATTGTTCTCTAGTAAGATAGCTTATTCTACAAGGTACGTACTTTCATATTCATGACCGGTGTATAGTCGCCATATGGGCAGTCGGATTCCAGGACAACTCCCCCACATACCTAACACAATAACGCACTGACATTCGGGTATATGGGAAAATTTGTCCACAGCTTTATTTAAACAATCTTGAATAATAACAATTTTATTCATTATAATAATAATAATAATAACCATAATAATAATTTAACAAATAAACATGGGTCATTGCCCCCCATACTCCGCCCTTGCATCCAAATCCTTCTGTTGATATAAAAGGCAATGACCCCCATATAAATAACACATATATATATAACATATACCAACATATTCCAACATACCAACTTAAAGTGCCAAACATAAATTAACCATGGCAGGGGTATACCCGGATACCCCTACCCCACCAGGTTCTGAGCCACCGACAGGATTTGAAACCTACCAACCACCAATGACCACAGTTTTCCGTTCCATCACGTTCATCCTAGGGAGCCTATTTCTTCTCCTTCAGCTCCCTTTCCTGCTGCTGTGGAAAAACGGCATAACCCTTATCCGCAACCAAAAACTCAGGGAGGATATACTTCATGGCAAATAAGTTAATTTGGTGTCCCTATTTATAGCCTTGCAGGATGTAATTGAGAACAGGGTCTACAGCTACGGGGATAAATCCAGGGACCCTAGCCTGAATAGAAAAGCCTTCCATCCCAGAGTTTGTAAACAACTTTGGACCATACAGGGACATTATCTGTTCCGTATACCCCAAAAGGCGAGTGGAGCTCAATCTCTACATGCACAAGTTGGTGGATTTGGGACACAAGTACGGGGGCTTTATGTTTTACGATTATCATAAGTCTGTATTAAGCAAGGCAGCTGCAGCTCTGGCCCAGTTCAACATTTGGACAGATTGGAGTCAGTTGGACACAGAGCTGTTCTGCCAGCATTTCGCCTGCATGACGCCCCCTTCATGCACTATTTACGCTTCCACTTCTCACAAAGCCAACTTCTGCCCCTGCGAGGCCGACCCTTCCACATCCACTGTTGCAGCACATACCATTCCATCTATCAGTCCAGAAAGGGGTCTGAAAGATAAGCTAGGCAGTCTTCTTGGGGAAGGCTCAGGTGTGCAATAACTTAAATGCTGGTGCATGCCATTATAACACTTGCAGTTTATTGCATGTCTGCTCTCATTGCTTTAGGGCACACGCCAAAACAATGTGCCCTACCAAACTTTTCCCCAAGAAGTGACTGACAGAGGTCAACATAGACATTCTAGCATTTCACTTACATTCACATCCCTCATCTCACCTGGTCAATTTTTTTAAATTAAAAAAAAAAAAATTATTTGCAGTTTTCTGATTTTTTTTACAATCACTTACAGGTACACAGTTCAACAAAGTAATAGAGTTGTTTTCCTGTTTAACACATTTTGGTACATCTTAGAAAACATGTTTTTGCTAATCTGGTGACTTTTTGTCATTTTGAACAATTCAATTTATTCAAACTAGATACATTTAGTGCCTTCCGAAGGCTTTGCTGTAATGTCTCTGTGTGCATTCCACGTTGCACAGCCAGTCCGGATTGTGGAATATCCATTATGCAATTTCGATTATTGTAAACATTATGTAGACTATATATAGTATTCAAATACAAAAAGAAAAGTCCTGCGCTCACTCCCATCACTCCTGGGCGGCAGCAATGACTACAGTACACATCAGCTAATACATATAGTAAAAAACAAAGAAAAAAAGTTACCTGCGCTCTCTCCTTAATCCCTATGTATATTTAAACATTCCCTCCAATGGCCACTGGAGGGAATGCCCGCCTGCCAACATCAAGGCAGACCCCCCTAGACGGGTCCTACACTGATCTTGCTTCCTTGAGCTTGTGTGATTTAATGTATTATTATACCGATCATTGTCCACCCCGTTGCCCCCACTCATGGCCAGATAAACATTATTATTAATTTATTATTTATAAAGCACCAACGAGTTCCGTAGCGCTATACAATGGGTGGACTAACAGACAGGTAATTGTAACCAGACGAGTTGGACACACAGGAACAGAGGGATTGAGGGCCCTGCTCAATGAGCTTACATGCTAGAGGGAGTGGGGTAATGTGACACAAAAGGTAAAGGTAGGGTAGAAAAGTAGGTTGCTAGGATAGTGGGCAGGGGCATAAATTAGGTCTTCACGATCCATTATACTAATATGGTGTTACATGGATCTCCATAAGCTTCTTACATGAATGTAGCTCTGGTCAGGCTCCACATGGTTTACCCTTGCTCGGCCTTAGATAATATCAGTCAGCTGAAATTCTGTGTTAACAAAAAGGTTTCACAGAATGAGCACCTGACCGGAATATTGTTTTTTTTGTGACTGAATAAACAAAAAGAAATGAAAATGTTGTCCATGCTCATGTCTAATGTTTATACAGGTTTGCTTGTATTTCTCAATGTTTGCTTACATGTGTATAGGGATGCCTGCTGCAATGTGCCTGTCTCCCTGCTAGTTTGTACCTATTTATATATGCTACAGCATGTTAAGGGCTATGTGTCTGTTGTAACGGATCACCTAGCACCCCGACTGGGTACCTCCGTTGAAGGATGCTCCTAGCGCTTCACGAGGACTCCAAGTATGCCAGCAGACACCTCCAGGCACTGGACGCTACTCAGTCCTGGGAACTCTGGAACCGAATTGGGAATTAGCTCTATTCCTTACAAGGACTTTCCCTGGTGAATCTCCTGTAAGCTGGAACAGCAGACACAGGAGCAAATCTTCCCTCCAATGACAGGACAACACATGGTTTTGGAGTGTAAGTAGGAACGGACTGAGCTGGGGTTTTATTGCTTCTTTTATATATATTTCACCACAAGGTTACCACCCACGTGGCCTTGTGGAACAACCAATCAAACACATTACAATACAGTCAGACACTCCCAGCCAAGTAAAGATAAAACAAATACAGTGAATAAAGTAATAAAGTGTGATAACAGGATCTGTTATAGCCACCTGAGCGGAGACCCCTTAAACCACTCTAACAATAACAAAATACAGATACATACAATGGTGGATCACACTTCTTGGTACATCTAAAATAGAAACATAAAACCATATAGTGTAATACAGTTAGTATGTAAGTAAATGCGAAGATCGTAGAGGTCATGTACTCACAAACCTGGATCCAAATATAATCATATGGCTCCCATGAGTGGTGCAGTGGGACTATTTTGTAGGATGTCCCTGTCCTTCTTCTTGATGTTCTTGGAGTTTCAGAACAGATGATGCAAAATTATAAGAAGGTATAGTTTCTTCTAAAAAAAGCTTTAATTGAACATATATAAAACAATATAAAAACAAATGGACTCCTCATTAAAAAAGGAGAAAAGCAAAGTCCAATACAGCCAAATGGCTGTCAAAGTCCATAAAGTGCACCGAGTGTAAAGTGCAAATAGTTCAATAGGTCCAGATGTCCTTTTAATTCCGATACGCGTTTCGCCCCGTGTATGGGGCTTCCTCAGTCGGTGGTGGTATGTGAGGGCTCTTTGGCATCCTTTTATACTGTACAGGTGGCTTACTTCCAGGTTTCGATGTCGGGAGTTGGAACGCACGATGTGTTCCACACGTCACCCGCGTCATTTCCGGGTCTTCCTCTCTCCGGCGCATCTGTGACGTCACTGGAATGCATGGTGGAACACACATGCATTCCATAGTGAGGTCCGCTCGGAGGATCCGTTCAATGTAAATGTAATACATATAATCCAGTTCTCTCCATGTGGAACTTCGTTATAAAGTCCATAAAAGTCCCAGCCAAGGCACACAAACTCTCCCCTCTGCCTGTGATATAATTAATGAACACAATGGGTTAACTCAATTATCACAGGCAGGGAAATATACAGTTTCATATCATATTCATAATTTCCAAAATATTCATGCAATCTCTATAAAAGTTACATATTCTGAATCAGCATACTCCATATACAAACAAACTCAAAAATCATACAATTCCCTCCAGTGGTTTAAAAGTTAGGTGGAATTCCTATTTGACCGACCGCTAGCATGGCTTTCTTGCCCAAAAGAGTTCCATAGTTTTGGGCTGTGCGGTCAGTCTATTTTACACGGGGGTGCCGTTCGTGCAAATAGTCCATTATAGCAGGGCGTGCGAATCGATTTCGAAGCCATTTTGTAGCCGACAGTGAGAGTTCCATGAATTTGACAGCACACACTGCTGACCGCGTTCGACTAAATAAAGATGGCCGCTACCATGTGTTCGACTGTACGAACTGTGGCCACCCAGCGGTCGGCAATTAACCTGCAGTTAACCACCAGCCTGTGAGGTAAATAGGCTGCACACTTCCCCTTGTGTTGTGTCTTCCTGTTCGGTAATTGGTTCGGTAAGCCCTTTTTACTGAACCATATGGGAAAAAAACATGCACAAGTTATTTTCACAGTCTGGGGACTCTGGGGACACAGTTTTAAAGGGGCATTGTTCCAATTCTCATTATGCCCCAATAATGTGCTTAAAAGGCCAGCACCAGTCCAATAGGAGTCCATAAGCCCAATTACTGTTTTTAAAGGGCACAATCTCCCAGGGGCCATAGTCAGAAGACAAGAGGCTGGCAAAAAGGCCCCTCCAAAAACCAGTGGCGAGGTTACTTTTGCCACATCTGTGTTCTAGGTTTTGTCTACATATGTTTGGTTTTGTGCACCAGTTTTTCTTGGGCTTGTTTGTGTATATGTGTTAGTGTGTATATGCAAATTTGCATCTATGTGCGAGTGTATTCTTGTTTATATATGTGTACCATTGTACTGCTGTGTGCTGTTGTGTCACAATAAGCATCATTACCAATATGTAATCAATATCTAAGACTTGGGCATTCATTTTTTTAAAAAAAATTTTCCGCTGTTTATCCATTCATCTGAATTCCAAACAGCATAACAAACCAACCAAGGAATGAACCTATGCACACTGAACAATCGACAGAAAGAGGTGGGAAGGGGGACATGACATGATCTACACAGGGCCGGCACCATCGTTAGGTGAACTAGGCATTTGTCTAGGGCGCCAGCCTGCTGGGGGTGCCCACCGGGATGCGGCCTGGTGGTCTGCCTGCCCCTGTCTTGGTCTGCAGCGCTGTGCGAGTGGCTCTCAAGCTGCCCTCCCCCAGCGCCGGGCCGATCCTTAAGGCTCCCAAATCCGAGGGGATCCCTGCCACAGGGGGGCCAGGAGGTGGCCATCTGAGGTCACCCCCGAAGTTGTGCACTAGGTAAGGCAGAGCAGGCACCTGCTTACCTTAATGGCAGGTGCCTGCTCTGCCAACAATTCCCAGTGTCCGGAGGAGAGCGGGCAGAGAAGGAAGGCTGTTCTTGCATTCTCTCACTCCTCCCTCGTGCGCCCTCTGTGATGCTGGGAGCCGGAATATGACGTCATTCCCTCCCCGAGCATACTAAACAGCACATTGGAGGAGCTGCCCCATACTGGACCCCAGGGAGGTGAGTGTTTGACTGTCAGTGAGGGTGTGTGAGTGTCTGCCTGTGTGTGTGTCTGTCTGTCAGTGACTGAGTGTATGTATGTCAGTGAGTGTCTGCCTGTATGTGTGTCTGTCAGTGAGTGTATGTATGTCTGTGTGTGTCTGTAAGTGAGTGAGTGTATGTCTGTCAGTCAGTGAGTGTCTGTGTGTGTCTCTCAGTGAGTGAGTGTATGTCTGTTAGTCAGTGAGTGTCTGTGTGTGTCTGTCAGTGGGTGTATGTCTGTTAGTGAGTGTCTGTGTGTGTCTGTCAGTGAGTGAGTGAATGTCTGTCAGTGACTGTGAGTGTCTGTCTGTCAGTGAGTGTTAGTGAGTGAGTGTATGTATGTCAATGAGTGTGTGTGTTTGTGTGTGTGTGTGTGAGTGAGTGTATATATGTCAATGAATGAGTGGATGTCTCTCAGTGAGTGTGTGTTTGAGTGTGTCTGTGTGTGTGTGTGTCTGTCAGTGAGTGTATGTCTGTCTGTCAGTGAGTGTATGTGTGTGTGTCAGTGAGTGTGTGTGTGTGTGTGTGTGTGTCAGTGAGTGAATGTGTCTGTCAGTGTGTGAGTGACATAAGGGGGGCAGCAAAATGGATCTTTGCCAAGGGCGTCAGAAATCCTTGCACTGGCCCTGGATCTACAAGGGGCTCACTCAGTGGTGTGTGTTGCATTCCTTGTTTTTCTGGGTTTTTTTTGTTTTGTTTTTAAAGCAGGTTGAAAAAAACTACATTTATGCAAATAGGAGCTTCGTTTTACACACTTTGTCTGAGCTTTGATGGTTACACACTTCTGTGCTAGCCTCATTGCCATCATCGATTTATTCTTCTATGTGAGATCTGGTGAGCCAAGACAGTCTCACAGACAGCCTTTGCTTCTGCGTTAGACTACTAAAACATTTTTTTTTCTTTCTTTACAGTATCACACTGCCTACTGTATTGCTTGAAGCAGTCAGATGTTCTCAATTTCGATTTTTTTTTATTAGCTTACTTTAATAGCATAGCTTTAAATTGATTTAGAGGACGAACAAGGTTACTACATGACTTATGCCCAATAGTAGGAACATGACTACTCAGGGCCGATACTGGTGATTTTTAGTCCCTGGCCTTGTTGGGAGTTCAGTGTTTCTTCTTTTAGAAACCGGTGGTGAGTGCTACTGTGACTCTAAAGTAGGAGCTAACAGCAAGTGAAATGATTAAATCCTTCTCAGATATCGGTTATATGTGGGAACTGCTCTTTTCTTCTGTGATTATATGTACCTTTGGGAGGCTGGTGTTTTCTAGTAGGGATTTTCTTGCAGCTAAGGCTCTCCTCTGGAAGTTGAGGACAACCTTTGCCCCAGTGAGCATGGCCAGTGCCGTCCTTCCGGTTTTGAACAATTTCCACATACTACAATGGCTGATATGATGGTTTGGACTTTAAATTGACGGTTTCTTGTATGTTTCTGGTGAGTATAGACAACTTTATCAGTGCATCTTTTCAGTTCTGTTTGTGATACTTCTTTCTTTCTTATGTAACAGGTATTTTTTGTTGTGGGTCTATGCATTTTTAAATAGCTATTTATTTTTTTCATGGTGGGATGGTTGATTCTTAGTTTACATACATGTATATTGTATTAAGGTTCTTATCTTAAAAAAGTTCCTTTTTGTTCATTGATTGTGCATTTATTTTTGGAGACGTTTTTGTTTTATTAGAGAGAACTGAATTCTTAAGGTTAGATTGTAGTTCCTTTTTTCAGCTGCCCAGTTTTCCTTCTAATCCTCTCCATTGCAAAAGACAAAGAAGTCAAATTCTATAGACCCAAGGTAAGCCATTCTTTTTTTATGGATCCATTAAACAAAAAGTTAACATATATGAGGATGCCTTTATTAAAGTGAAGCACTCATACTATCTGTTATATGTTCTAGTTCGCACCAGTCTCCAAGACGATCCTGTGTACCCTGCCATAAGTAAACCATTGAATCTAATCCACAAATGAAGCTCATTATTATGTTGTCTTTGATGAAAGAAAGACAGAGGCTCTACTCGAAGCAGTCCACAAACTCTGCAGCTGTCAGCAGAATTCTGCTTGGATGCATCTATAGACCCAGTGAGGTATATAGCCAGAACCATGGTTCTCAATTTGATGTGTCATAGAGACTTATGGCTGAAGGCATGGGAGGCTCCTTGAATTCAAGGAATGGCCCACCAAGGAAGTTTTTCCAGTAATAATTTCCAGATGATCCAAGAAGTTAGCTCCTTTAAACGTCATGAAGTCTATGTTGCTGCATGAAGTTGTCTATCCAGTTCCCCAAAAAAGGTTCCAAGAGTTCTATTCCAGACCAAATGCAAGACAATTCAATATGGAATCATTCAGCTCCATCATAAAGAAGGCAATTAGATGATTTCAATCAATCTAAAGAATGCTTATTTCCATATCCTGATGAGAGACCATCAGACATACTTAACATTTTGCCTCAAATACAAACATTTTCAATTATGTAAACAACATCCTTGTGTTGGGGAAGGATCAGTCAACACTGGTGGCTCATCACAACACAGCAAGAGTAATCCTAGGGAAGCAGGGATTGGTGTTGCATTAAAAAAAAAAAGCAAGCATATTCCCTCTCACTAGTTTATGTATATAGGAGCCATGTTCAACACAAGAGAAGGATTGGTTAGCCTTTCAGAAGATATAACTTCCAAGTTAATAAGGAAAATTCTAAAGATGCTTCCTCTTCATGCTGTTTCAGCTCGCAATTTCATGATTCACATGGGATCCCTGTCTTCTACAATAGGTCTGACAAAATGGGATCAATGGTATTTCAGAATTCCTTAGAAATACTTTATCGCTTAATTTAGGAACCAGTCACTCACTCAGAGGATTATTTTATCAACACTAGTCAATAACTCCCTGAATCGTTAAATCTGCTCAATGAGTTGTTATCAGATTTAAAAGTTAAAACTCTTTTTTATGTTTGGGAGTCCCCAGATGTGGGTAGAAATGTATTTAATATCGGGTCTTTTAGTAGTAGGTGCCAATTCCTATTAATAATGTTCCTGACTTTTTTTGTTTTGGCTGCCTGAAAATTAACATATAAATGGCACCCCTTTTGTCTCTTTATTATCATTTAATTTAGTTTTATATTCTAGTAGTGATTTCCTATCTGGCTGTCATACTTCTTCTATTGTTTTATTTAAAAGACTCTCCTCATAACCTACGCAAACATACACTACAATCTCTACGCACACACTCGCTGCATCCCTAATAGACACACTATGTCCCGTATACAGACACACTTCAGCACCTATATGAACACACTCTCTACAGTCTCTCGCCACACATAATACACCACAAACAACACAACTGAAATCGACATGTTTACACACAACACTACAATCAGTCCACTCTACATACACGCAAACGCACAAGAAGCCTTTAAACACATGCACAATACTCTTTTCCGTCCCTTTTGTCCTCTGGTATCCTTATGGAGACACCAGAGACAAGTCTCAAGCTAAAACACAGCACAAACATGTAATTAAATCCACTTGTACTGCGCAGAACAAACACATGGCCTTTTTCTCATGCAAGAACATGTCAGCATGTCAGCACTGGAAGACCATTGGGCCAAAATGCTCATTTTGAGGGAGGCATGCTCACCACTGGTGATGACACAACAACCCCCCTCTGACCCCACCCCCTTCTCACAGGGGATGCTGTGATAAAAAATGCCTGGGCCAAATTCTTTTCCCAGTCCGGTTCTGTGAATAACCCTGTTAGAATTACTGAATTCCAAAATGTAAACACAAATAACCAGACTACTATGCATTTGTGTCTCTATATTGACAGTTCTAATACTTTGTGCATATGAAATGCTTGTGCCCATTAAATATTTATATGTTTTGAACACCAAGACAGTGACTATATAACGAATGGAGAAATTGCAGAGTAAAATTGATAACATTTTGATGAAATAACTTGAAATTAATCTTTGAATACATAAACTATGAAAGCGTATGGAAAGCACATAATATGTCAATATAATATCTAATGTCAAATATGGTCCAGGATGAAAATGATCAATTATATTGTAAGGGTTTGCTTATTTGACAATGAAATCACTGGCACCAGGGTACCACCGTATATATATGAACCGTGTTTTGGTCCAGAAGGCAAATTGCAATGAACTATTCAATGTATAGGGTTATTTTTGTAAACATGGAAATAACCAGATATTTAAACTCCACCAATTTTATTTCCAGCTTAAATGATCACTCCAGTGTTAAAATTTAATATTCGGAGTGTTCCTTTAGCCATTTAGGTCCTCCCTAAACAAACCACAAAATAACAAAGACTACTTACCTTTCATCCCTCTAACCTCTGCTTAGATCTGTCCAGGGAAGACTGTCAGTGATGGCAGTCTCCCCTTTCTAGTCAGATTAAATTGGTCCATGTGCAGCCATTTCTGTGAGTGTGCAAGTCATAGGCAGTGATCATTCACTATATATGGAAGACCTCACTTCTGCTTTAACGATTGCTAAATGAAGCCCTCCTGGCATTCAGCAGGTTATGAAAAGGGACAATGAACAGATTTTTTGAACTCCTAAAATTATCAATTTCCTGAAAATCCCATCTTTAGTTGAAAGGAGTTGTACATCTCCTCTGATGGAGTATATGCGTCCAAGCCCAATTATTATTTTATAATATAAGCTAAGCTAAGATGTGGTTGTGTGTATTTTCTATGTTTCTAGTAAAAATAATCTTGTTAAATGCTATGATACAATGCTGTCGGCATATTGGTTGGAAGGTGCTAAAGGTCAGAGTTTACAATTTAGCAAAGAAAGGTAGAGTGCATTGTAAGTCTCCTAAATAATATAGAGCTGCTCCCCAGAATGTGGTTACTATCTATCAAACAAAAAAGGGAAGCTGAGGATATATTCATAGTCTGCCATCTACTTATAACAATGTGTACTGACTTCCTCCCCATAGAACACAGTAATAGTCTCCTTCATCTGTAGTCTGTATTGTGCTAATAGTTAGAACTGCCAAACCCCCTGATATAGATCCTGTAAATCGAACTGGGGTCCAATATGGTCTATGGTTCTGATTGCTGGTGCCAGAACTGCCAACTACAAGTTGAGGAACTTCCCCAGGTAACTGTTTCACCCATTGCGGGTAGTTATCCCCCGCCACAGAGCCAACACTACGACTGCAGGAGAGACGGACTTCTGTACTAAGTCCCACAGATATTGTGGCTTCCTGATTCACCACAAACTGAGCCTCAGAACCTGAAACAAGACATCGAGAAGTTACCAAACAATACATACATGGAGTTTTCTTCATGAGAGCTGTCTGTGCAGGTTTTCATATCTTACATGAGCAATAAGAGCTGAGAACGAGGAGGAGGACAGCCCAGGACATGGTGCAGACAGTTCTGCAATAAATGACAAACAGATCTGTGGTTCTCTTAAACCTCTGCAGAAATGGAACATTTACATAATGCAAATTTTTAAAGACCTGTATTAATTGGTAAATCCCTGAAGCAAAAAGACATGACTAGATTTACTTACACTAGAACCAGGGATTTGTTTTTATTTTCAATTAGATCTTTATCGAATTATACAACAATTATAAGCACCATGGGAAATAGCAGACAAAGGTCTGGTGTGCAGACAATGTAGACAGCAGCTTCTAAAACTAAAATTCTAAAACAGAAAATTCTCAATATTGAAAACCAGACAACTATTTGGGGATTTATAATTGGTGACCCAAGGCTACAATATCCACACAAATGTCAAAACACTGGGTAAGAAAGAAACATCTATTAGATCTGTTCCTAGAACCTATCACCATCCATGCCAATATAACAAGGATTGTCCTGTATAAGTATTTTATGCAAGTGATCATCATGTCTAAAACATGTATGTCAGAGATCTCCACATTGAATACAGTGCAGGATCCAAATTGTTATAAACTGTCAGATTTAGTAAAACTATCTTTATGATGCATTATCAAGAGCAAGGTAAAACTTGTACAGTCTGATTTCTGTGCTAAAATATAAGAGGAAATAATATGTTTAAGTGCCACATCTGTAATGTCTATTAATCAGCCATTAGGCTACCGCACTTTTACATATATGTCTTCAGTCAGGACATTTAAAATTGATAAATCTTTAATTTACAACACAAAGCTCTTGAAAGGATGCTGCTGCTGCAAAAAAAAAATACACAGGGATGATTGAAGGTCTTTTAAGAAAAAATAAAATAAAAACACAATTAAATGTGATTAGTAAAAAACAATATAAATTGAAGTATGAGGAGATCCATTACACTCCACTTATTGAATGTGTTTGCTTAAATGCTTTATTTGTCTGGAGTCTGTCTATTTGTTTTGGCAATTTATAAAATGTAAATTTCAATAGAAATAGTCACTTTTATGATTGGGTATCCTTTACAATCTTGTATAATGAAAAAGCTGGATACATTTCTCATCCCAGCTCCGACTTGAGCAATGGCTTTAGTATCCATCAGCCCAAATATATAGTACAAACAAATAAAAAGTTACCTGAGCAGTATAAAATAAATCCCAACGCATATGCAATTTAATATTTCATTTTTATTAAGTTTTTGACATCACAACAATGACAAGTATTACTGCTGTTCAGCACAGGCACTGATGGCACAGTATGCATTACCTAAAATATTGCAATTTTTAGCAGCATGCTGGCATACATTTAACAGTGTTGTCAACTTGAGTTTGTCCCGTCTCTTCTGCCAGCGTGGCTGCACATAAACTAGACAGCCACACCGACAGATGTTTCAGACTTGCCTTGGTCGCGGCTCCCTCCATTCCGATCCCCAGCGGCGATGTTCTTAGGAACGCTGGCCGCTGAAGTTCAGGTTTTTATAATAAACTTACATTCGCCCACATCAAAGATGGCGCCGTTAAATTACCTTTTTGTCAGTGCCCTGATGTGGTTTCCACTAACTGGTTATCCGAGAGTGTGTTCCTGATAGTGTTTTTTCTGATATTTGACTTTAGCTTTGTTTCGACTTCCCTGATTTCTGGTATCCTTGACTTCTGGCTTTCCTCATCGTTGTGTCTCATTCTATGTCCCTGACCTCGGCAAGTATTTTGACTATTCTCTGGTACGTTAAGTCTGGCCATTCTAAGGTCCGGTTAGATGTTATCCTTAGTCCTAGGTTTGATATTTTTCTGTGTTGTACTGTACAATATTAATAAATAATAATTGTGACGGACCACCTGGCACCCTGACTGGGTACGTCCATCAAGCTCGCTTCCTAGCTCTCCTCTGGGATACAGGAATGTTTCAACCCCTAGCCGCCGCAGCTTGGCTGGGGTCTCTCTGTCGCTTCTCGCCCTGGAACAGGGTCCTGGGTACAGCTTAAAGTGATTAAGCTCTCCTGCAGAGAGTAACGCTGATCCACCCAATTCCCAAACACTAGCCTAGACTGAGTGAAGGGTATAAAGGAACTGGGTTATTATGGCCTAGTTGCCTGCTTATATACACAACCCCCAGCAGGGGGTCACCACTAAATAAAATGTAAGCCCCTCCCAAAGATCTCTGTGCATTGGAGATAATTGAGTTAAAAGACCGGTAAGCTAATTATATACCAGGAACAGAGGGGCAAACACAAAAATATAAAACATAAAAATACCCCAAAATAGCATAAAAATATACAATAACCCCACAAACTATACATCCCCAAATAACCCTGATCTGAGCTCCCAAGTTCTCCCAATAGGGCTCAGATCCATGCAGTGTAGGGAAAACGCCACCGTGGCATATGGGATGCTCCACCTGGCTCTCAGGTAGTGTTTGTTCCCCTTAGTCTCAGGCATCTTGTCTCCAAAAAGCACTTTCCTTGCAGGTCGCAAAGAGGTTCAAAACCCCGGACCAAGTTGTCCGGGGACTATAATGTCACCTTATGCCGAAAACAGTTCCATAATGGTCGCGGCTTAGTACCACTGAGGACCATTCTTGGGTTTGTTTATGCGAATGGCCGCCAGGGAGCTAGCATTCAGTTCCATTTGTATGAAAGAAAATTGCTGAATCAGGGGCACCGAGGGAAAGCTGCTAATGGCAGCTGGGCATGGGAACTTCGACCTGGACCATAGTCGGTAGGCAGGAGGCTGGCTTCCACACTCCTCCAGGAATTTGTGGCAAACGTTTGTGGAAAGGAGTGTTTGTCACAGCTTCCTCTGCTCTACAGCGAGTGGGGGAAGGGAGGTCCTTAACAGATTTTGGGTTTTCTAGTTACCTTCCTAGAAGAGGGGTAAAACCTGTAAAACATACTTGACCTCTCTGGCTACAAGGGGAGTTCCAAGGAGGTCAGTCCAGGGGAGGAACTTCTGCTAACCGAGCCAAAGAGACTCTTTCCTTCTTAAACTAACCATGTGAGTGGAGGCAGCTATATAACCAGCATGTAGGACAGAGGAAACCAAGACATACATAAATATAAAAATGAACATCTTAATGTATTGCATTATTTTATGTTCAAGGCCTATGTATTCATAAAATGTTTTTATGTTATACCTATGGCAAAGCTAACTGTAGCTTAATTCAACAACCTATACATGCACATACACATACCTATAGATATAGAATGTTTACAAACACTTCTCACTTGTTTCATTTGTCCACATTCCCTAAAGAATTAATCATGTAAGCATATGGTTGTCACCTGGCCAGTATTTAAGGCCTTTGCTTGTATAACATCACCAAACGTGTTATTCATATTGCAATATTTTTTTTCTTTTAAAAAGCATAGAACTCTGAAGCTGTGTTGTAAATACTATAACTAGAAATGAGACAAGGATGGGAACAATTCCTTTAGATACTATTCAATGCTGAGGAGTAATATGGTTAATCACCACTTAACAGAAATGATGGGTAATGCATGGAAGTGTTTTCCAACAGTGGCATTATTAAACTATTATAGAAATTGTTGTTTAACATGATTCTGTTTCTATAAAAAAATATATTTATTCTACATTGTAGGCTGACAAAAAAAGGAAATTATTTGATTTTATTTTAGATTCTGATCCTGTAAACTACAAGTTTAGGGACACCCCCAGTTGTCTGATAGTACCATGCTGGGTAGTTACCCCCAGTCACTGAGCCTCCACTGCGCCCACAGGTCAGACGGGCATCATTACCAATAGACCCAGATATTGCAGCTTCCTGAGTCACCACAAACTGAGCCGCCGAACCTGAAAAAGACAATGAATAATAATCACAATCAGAAAGCTGTCGGCGTTCCTGATGTGAGCTGTCTGTGAATAAGAGCTGACAATGAGAAGAAGGACAACCCAGGACAAGGTGCAGGCAGCTCTGCAATAACTGACAAACAGATCTGTGATTGGAACCCTCAAGACTCCCCTTAAAATCCCTACAGAAATAAAGAGTTTACTTATATGCAAATCATCAGTAGTAGTAGTTTCACTTTATTGGTTCTGGTACTGGTATGTGCATGTGACATACTTGTTTCCGTCCTGCCACTGACACAGCAAGAGAGCATGGTTCAATGGAATCAAGCTGTAAAGGATCTTTGCGGGAGATTTTCAAAACTGCAAATACATAACAGAAAAACCATAGAGCACTATGCATTGGCATCCCAAATTGTCTGTCTGGCACAAAGGCTTTTTTTTTTTTTCAGACATAGGTATTTTCACTGGCATGCACCCACTCCACTTCTACTGCCCACTCCTGTACCAGTTTCATACCCACTACTGTTGGAAGGTATGTAGAAATGAAGTTACTCATTATGAAGTCCTGCAAATGGAACTGCTCCAGAAACTCAACTCCACTATATTACAAGATCATTGAGGGTTAGCCTCTTGTTCCGGTCAAGATTTGTAAAATGTAATCTTTCCATCTCTCAGCACGCAGAACTTAAGACTAGAAGGGCAGAAGACTATTAGCAGTCCTTAGGGTTGGCTGGGTTTGATGCACAGTGCAATGTGTGCTTGAATACAGGTGTGAGAATAGTCGGAGAACAAGATACTGTCTAGGAACACAGAAAGGAACAAAGTCAAGAAGAGCTTGGGAGAAGAAGACACATGGAAAGGCTTAGGGAGAAAAAGTGACACACAAATGTGCTGGGGGTGGGAAAAAGAGATGTACAGAGGTGCTGGGGAAGGGGAGAAAGTGACAAAGAGGCTGAGGGAAGAAAGAAACATACAAATATGCGGGGGGGAAACAGACACACAAATGAGCTGGGAAGAGGAAGAGAGACACATTAGGGGAGTAACAGAAAAACAAGGGGGGGTGTAAGACACACAAATGGAAATATGGGGGATAATATACACTAAAGAGAGGTATACGACACAGAAGAGGGATAGATACACTGAAAGGGGTAAGACATTCAAAAGTAGGGTTAAGAGACACACAGGTGAAG